TACAAATATATATATATATATATATATATATATATTTTAAATGTTAGATCTAAGATCATTTAGTATCAAAATTAAAGATATTAAAATCTTAAAAATGTAGAAGTAAGGTGACACGAACTTTCTGTACAAGAGAAGAGAAAGAATAGGAGTTAAGTGGAGAGTCGAAACCTATTGAAACACTAAGTTGCGAGTTAAGGTAAACATTTGTGTTAGTTTCATTTATTAGAATTTTATATACATTAAATTGATATATAATTAATATGTTAATATGAAATTAAATCAATTGAGGGCAGGGAAGCTAACAAGAAAATTTTGCATGCTAGAAAGGAAGAAGATCAATTTGAAAGCCTCTAAGATAAACGTTAGGATTTATAGTATTATTAGAATTAATGATATAATTAGATATATTATTGTTATTAAAATGTTGATAAAGACTATTCAAGCATATAAATAAGTCTAATTTAAAGCCAAACTCACAAGAGTCTTTGTTGATATGAATTATACATTACGAAAATAAAACAAATAAATACATGAAGGTTTGATAAACTTGCCTGCCTGAATTTAGGAGCAACACCCAAATGATACAGAAAGAGCATGATATCAAGCAACTCCTCCTCACGTAGCGCATCTAAAGATGAGGTATTGACTAACAGCTCACTCCCAAGATGCTGCAAGGTCTGGTACCCAAAATCCGATTCTGTTCGGCCACTTGAACTAGGTTTGTCCACAATACCATCACTCAAGCTGCCTGCAGCACATTCTGCAGTAACAGATCTCTCTGGAATAGAAGAACAGGGACCGTTTGAATTTCTACCTAAGCATTTAGCATTATCTTTTGATGTTCTAAATATATCGACTTCGGAGGATGAACAACAACAAGGCTTTTGTCTTGTAGAGTGTGTTATTTTTGTATCATAGTCATGCATACATCCTTCATCCCACCACAAAACTTTTTCATCGTCACTGACATGGTGGGACATCAATAAATGGTTAATTGAACCTCCAACCCTTGAGATCCAACCTCGATGTGTATCAGCATTTAATAGCAACCCCACTGGGAAATTTCTCTTTCCACCCCTATGAAGAAAGCCTCCCCCAGCTTCAGAATTTGCAGTGGAGCCCATCAAGTCATATATGTCATCCATTGGAAAACCTTCAGATAAGAAATAAAGGATCGCCGTGTACAAAGAAACGACTGTAGAATTGTTAGACGCATCTGAAGGAGGCACCTTATGTTCTACACCCCTGACTTTCAAGATTAAGTTTTGTAGAAAAGTTCTAAACACTGATCCAGGTAATTGGCTAGGAGTTGTTGGAGGTATGAATCGTATAATCATACAACAAAGTTGCCGATGCAGCTCCTCTATCTGCATATTACACAAGCTCAACGTTAGCTCTAACATAACATGGAAAAAATAGGAATCAAGCAACAAGAATTCTCGCATAATGGCAGTGCATTCAAATGTTCTCGTCAAAAGCATAAGAATTAAATTTCCTTCCATGATAAGATAGTGAACCAGTTGAGCTATAGGAGTTGATGATGAAGAAGAAACAAAAGATTGATGCATCTGAAAATTGTACTCAAGTATAAAAAGGATGCTGAATACAGAAAGTAAACTGAATAAAGAAAGTTTCGATTATATGCTAAAAACTGTACATCATAACTGGGAATAGGTTACCACTGAATATTTATCTCGGTTATGGCTTATTGAGTAAATTCAGCCAAGCAATTAAAAAATGCTTTAACATCTGGAACATAAATCAATGAGAAAAGACATAAACAATCATACAACAATAAATATAACCATGCAGCTTAAGTTGGTATTCAAGGGCTGATAATTTGTTCGTACATTTCACTTCACTAATATTCAAAACCATAAACACATAGACTTGCATCAGTTTCTAAGAAAAGAAATATCACTTTTGTTACACATTTGGCTATTAATGCTTTCTAAGGTAAACTTGACTTTTATAAAACCTGTTAGCCACAATCAAGAGATCGAATTGAACCTCCTCCACAATCAATGTAGTGAATAATGCAATGAACCACCTAATGCAAAAAAACTAGACCTGTGCTAGGCAAGTTGTAACTACTTCATAGGATTGAGTCATTCAAATGGATTCGATCCCAGACATATATATATATATATATATAGCATTAAGATAAGTTAGTAGACATGAGTAAAATGGCGCTTCTAATAGATTACAAAATTAATCTACAACTATATAGGACATGTAATTATTATTTCAATGTACAAAAAAAACTATTTTCAGGAAGGCATTCACACTGTTGCACTGATAGTTGAAAGTGATGATAATAAGATGACCCGACCCAATCATCCGACAGGCTCAATGCTCATAACAAGTTCACCAATAAACCCATTGTAAAACAAAATAGAGAACAAGTTATTTAATAGGAAGACGAGCAATACCCCTTTGATAGCATACCTTATTAACAGCTCCAAACAAAGCTCCTGTTGTGAGAATCATACTACTTTCAGAACCAACATCATCTGACAATCCAGGCCACCATACAGATGGAATCAATAACTGAAGATCCTGCTTGTTTGGACTCTTTGTTGACAAAAAGTCTTCCAATGACGATTCAAATTCAGGCGACTGCCACCACAAAGTCATCATGTCCTTGTGGCTGAGTATATGGCAAGCCAAAGCTAAGTAAGGATATGATCCAGTATAAGGACAATCCACTAAAACAAGTGGAGCAGTCTTGCAGCTGAAGGAAAGGGCCATGATGAGATGCTGAAATAATGAAACATGACCATGAAACTCAAAAAAAAGTCCAATAACCTGATCCAAGCAAGCATAATCATGAGGAATCTGTGATCCAAACACTTCTAACATGAATGGCAAAAGTGCAGCCCATGAAATATATTCACTGCAACCTTGATTTGAGTGAATCATAGCAAAGAGCTCCTCACAAATGCCATGGGAGATAGGTAAATATAGCTCTTCAATAGGAGAAAACCTCTTCAATCTTCTCAGTTTCTCAAAGTATGCTGAATTAGATTTATCCATATGTTGCATCTCCAATAACCGAGATAAGCATTGAAGCAAATATAGTGAAGCAGTTGCAGAGCTTGGTGGAGCTTGAATAGGATGAAAGCCATCAACAGGATACTTAAACGGACGAGAACCAAAGTTTAACGCGCACCTTTCACCTTCAGAAAGAGAAAGTGCTGGATAATAACCAATCCCAGGCCCCATTTTACGGATCCCATCAAAAGCCACACCTAAAGGCACTCCATTCCTATAGAAGGAAATCATGTCCTTGTTCAAATCAATGCAGCAACCTATCACATCGCCAACAACCCACGACTGACCGTACGCTTTAGAGTACTTGTTCCACTTGCTAACCCTCCTTCCATCAAAAGCGTATGAATCTTCAGCATCACCAACTCCTTTGCGATCAGTAAAGGGACAGGAAACAGTGGCCCACCCAAGTTGCTGAACTCCGGCAGTTTCCAATGTGACTTCATACATCCATTTCCCCTTCCACACACACGCATTGGCTCGAGTGCTGCTGAAGGATGCTAAACTTTCCATAAGCAAAGTTTTGGTATTTCTTATTTCCCCAGAGATACTTGCACTATCTATAACAACGGCGTTAGAACCAAAACCACAGTCAATAACCATAATCCCATCCCTGTAAGTAGAATCCGTGGTCTTACCAACTTCCAATGCCAGTAATCGGTTGCTCAAGACAGCACGAATGAAACTAACATCAACCAATCCAGAGGACGGACGAATAGACCTGTGAGGGAGATCCAATATGTATTCTATTGTCCTTTCCACAGACTGACTCCCAAGATCATCAAAATACGAAACAAGATGAGACCTCTGCGGAACTTCCTTCTCATTGCCATCCGACAATATAGAGGCCAGCCCAGAGGAGAGCCCGGTACTCTTCTTACCTTCCTCCGCCATTTTTTCACACGAATCAGGTTTTAATACTTTATCGATTCTCGATAACAAACCCTCCACACAACAATCTCAAGCCCAACAAAGCCAATCCGAATCAGAAAAGGACGAAATTCTCGCTCCTAACATTTCACGAATAACATAATTCTTTAAGCTAGGGTTCCACTATATATGAACAAAATAATTCAGAAACTTAAAAATTGCCGAAAATCTCCCCGAATTGAAGAGATTGACATATTTCAAGATCTTGGTCAGCTTAAAAAAATTCAAATTTAAGCGATTAGGAGAGCGGAAAGTAAACTTACTGAATTTGCAGGGTTGAGATTGTTCAGCTTTTTTTAGGGTTTTCCGTCGGCTTTCTTAGGTGGCGGCGGAGCCGGATTAGGTTTTGCAGGCGCCATCAACGAGAAGACGCGGTGGAGAAAGAAGGTGGGCTAATACAAGCTGAGGCAGAGATTTTTAAAAATAAATAAATAAAACGAAATTTCTATTTTCCAAAAAATTCGGGGGACAGTACCGAACTTGCGGGCTCCCCCCACGGTGACCTTATGCGATCAATGCCACGTAGCATCAGGTCGTGTGGAGGACAGCTTTCCTAAGGTGGCCCTCAACCCCGTGGCAGAATTTTATGTTAATAAGTGCATACAATGTTCTATGCGTTCAAATGCTATCGCCATCGAAACAACGGTGGAATGAGTTGCTTTTACCAGTGGACGGTTGATCTAGATGGTCGCAGTGTTCTTTCTGTGCGGACCATATGATGCTTCGAGAAATTCTATCTCGCGCTGGCCCTAGGAGAAAACTCGCACGTGCAAAAAAAATTTATTGCTATTGTAAATAGATAATCAAGACAATTAGAATTATACCCAATAATCAACAAAATTCTAATTTCTAACCCTTTCAGGGTGGCATTTTAAAAAAAATGCAGCCCCTACATCCATTCTGTCCATTCTGTCAAGAAAATTGTATTATGTACAACCTATAGGGATAGATATGAGAAGATCATAATGTTATTCTACAATTACAAAAAATATTATAAAAGACTAACATAAGATAATGTAATTAATAAGAAATGAGAAGCAAAATCTTGATGACATAGAAGCCTTGTTGGATATAATTTTTTTGTAATATAGTTAGGTACAAGTGGGCAAAAAAGAATGATAATTTGATATATAGTAATGAGTTGAAGCTATAATACAAAAATATGAATTAATTATAATCTTTTTTTTAATTATTATTTCTTATGTTAACTAGAACTAGCTCGCAATAGATATGAGTTAGCTAATGAGATTATTTATATTTATAAACCACGTCAAGTGAAAGAGCATGATTAACTAGACACGTGCGATCAATTTTAATTGATTTTGATTGACATGACATAACATTAAATATTCTTCGAGACGATATGTCATCTAGTTGGCCTATATATTATACATATGAGATTTAAAAATGTTGCAGACATAATACAAGAATAAATAACTACTAAAATTTTGTCAAATTTACATTCTAAAAAGATATCATATCTAAAATGAAGATCTTGCTAAGATATGATTTTAAGATGATATATGTTAAGCAAGCATTAAATGACAGGAGAAATAAATCCTTATCACGAGAGGACCAGCAAAATGTATAAAAGTATTTTATCTCATAATACAAAGGCGAGTGTGATTAACACAAAACAAAGTCTAATTTTAAGCTCAAAAAATATAAATTATTAAAATGTTGAAAGAAAGAAAGACCAAGTTTAGCAGTACCAATAAATACAAGAAAAGACCTAGTAAGTAAGTTATATTTATGTATTTATCTGTGATATAATGATTGAGAGTGTAATTTCGCAGCATGAGATTTTGAATTCAAATCATACATATTGGCCTTTAGCTCACCTTTTAAAAAAAATTTATGTTGTATTTGGTAGAGTATGAATGTCGCCTTATTTTTTTCTCGCATGCTCCTTTGACGAAGGCAAAGAAATACTTCTAAAGCAAAACTTAATCACTTTTCTAACATATATAATTGTTCGTATAAATAAATATAATATGGGCTAACATGAGCAAACTAAAATAAAGTTGTTTATGATCACAATCATAAATATATCATTAACCAAATGTAAAGTCAACCACAATCAAAATATAAAATAAATAAAAAAAAAACAATAAATAAAACGAACTATAGAGATGGTCACAAAGGACAGAGTAACATTGTTTTATCCGACAATTTTATTTGTAGCAACAGCGGTTATGTGAATAATTTTAAGAAGTGAGTGGTAGATATGTAAATCTTAAAAATTTCAAGTGGGTAAATTGAGGGGCGGATAATTAAAGAAGCCTGAAGGAGTTTGGACGGCCATGAATGGAACAAAGAGGCGGGCAGCCCGCCGAGCTCTCACTTTCTCTCTTTCCTACTTTTCCGAAGATGCTTATTCGTGGATTACAACATGTGAGGTTCATATGTTGCTTCAAGAAACAGAAATCTCATAGCATTTAACGTAATATAATGAAAATTCATTATAATTATATTAATCTCTTATGGTTAATTATATAATTACCACAACTATAAATATAATTTGACCTATAATATTAGCAGAATTTGTTGGTTAAAATACTTTGATTTTTAGTTGAGTAACATGCTAAAATAGTCATAGACTAGTTATTCTGTATAAGAGTTTATATAAATGTCAAAATAGACATATACTTTTAAATTGGAGATTATTAGAGTTCATATAAACTCTTTAACTAAAATTATTCATATAAATAGTCGGTGACTATTTTGACACTTTACATAATTAAAATATATTTTGTTGAAAGTTTTTAAATGACAAAATAAAATAAAATCAATATAATATAGCATTGTACATCCAAAAGTAGATGTGCTAAGCTATCACACAAGCCCAAACAATAAATAAGACTTTTAGGCTTAATGGATAGAGTTAAATTGTTAAACACCTAAAATATATTAGCAAGTAGATTATATTCATCTACCATATATTTAGAAGTTACAATTATAATATTTGCCACTCAAAAGGACTCGATGAGCTCCTTCACCAACTTGTCAGTATTCATGTGAGCCTCTCCACTTGAGCTCGCCTCATCCACTTGAGCTCGCCAATAGTTAGTGAATTCATACGCTAAGCTCATCTACGTTTATCGAGCTGCATCGACAAGTTCTTTGAAATATCCTGCAAGGTTACGTGTGTGGTGAATCGAAGCAATCTCTTATAAAGATATTTAATACAAGCTTACTTGTGTTTATCGAGCTACACCAACAAGTTTTTTGAAATATCCTCCTCTGACTGAATAGATTAGAGATCACGATGGTCTGGGATGACGAAACCATGAGATCTTGAATAGGTTTCATATTCATTCCCCAATAATCCGCTTTATGCTTCAATTGAAGAATTTTATTATTTAAAATCCTAAGTCGGTTGTTATTATATGTTTGAATATTCAATTCTTAATGACTAGCATTGATCAAAAGTGCTATCCTATTATTGGGAAGGGTAACTAACAATAGGGGCTTGTCCCTCTGGGAAGCGTCAAACCCCAGATCAAAAAGTCATCACAAAAATGAGATTGAAATCTCTTGTTAATGTCATATTTACAATCCAATTTGTCTTCTAAAAATTCAACCCTTTAAACTATACAGGGCCATAAGTCCTAAAAGGATTCACTAAGTATTAATAATTTATTTTAAGATAGATTAAATAATAATACTTTAACTAAAAAAACAATTGTTTCAAAATTGAATGAGAAATTTCAAGAGCAGGTGCTAGTGCTGATTCACACTGATGCCCGAAACATCTAACTTATATGAATTAAATGTCATAGTCCTGCTTAATTATTTTATTACAAAGTTGATTTGAACGTCACATTGTAACAGTTAACAAGATTAGATAACTTGTAACTTCCAAAAAAGAACCAATTTCTCTTCATGTAAAATCAATTAAAATTATATTAATCTTAGTTCATGAGAATGACATATTCTGATGGCCCACTCTAATCATTTCGAGTTCCCAAGACGAAATAAAAATCTGTTTTTTTAAATTTTTTTAAATGATATCTTAGATAAAATTTCATTTGGTTGATTCGTATTGAATCCATATTTTTAAAATATCAATTCATTGTTTTTCACCATTTTCAGAATGTATTATTGATTTTAGAAAGATTTACATGCACGCCACTCAATACCTAAACATTTACATATCTAACACCTGAACTTCAACTTTTACATACATACGCACCTTACCAATGCTTCAAAAAGTAAATTTCGCTTTCTAAAAGTTAAAATAGTGGCATTTTTAAAAAAGCGATATGAAAGATTCGGATGGTATAAATGCAAAAAGCAGTGTGGATGTTAGATATGTAAATACATAGGAATTGGGTGCTATGTACGTAAATGCCTCTTTTAATTTTAATATTTCTCCTCAAAAAAATTCTAAAAAGCAATGAAAGCTGTAGCCAAACAATCATAATTCTTGGTTCAATTACCAAAAAAAAAATTAACAAATCAACGCAAATCCAGGCACAATATTACAGACTGAAATTGTGTAAAAGTTGTATAAAAACAATGTAAAGTGCAAATAATGCCCAATTAGCATTTCAGTCTGCAAAAGCTAAAACGAGTGAAGCTCCTCCACTCATACAAGTGTCGAAAAACATCCACAACCAACACACTGATTTCACGGGTGAATGCTACCCAATATATTAACAAGAGCGAAATAAAGCTCAATACAAAATGACCCAATTAATAAATAGAAATTTTCTAACTTGTGGTTTATGCAGCAACCCTCATGCAATCCAGAGGGGAAAATCACTAAAAATTCTAAAGAAATTTACATTATGAAAGTAACATTACCACTGAAACTATGAACCTCATGGCTTCCAAATTCTTCTTCCATCCTCATCTCCAGATGGATACTTGACAGTAACAGCCTTCTTCTTCAACTCTGATAGAAACAAAAATTAAGCTGAAAAAACAGAAAGAATATGATAGAGGGGATGAAATTTCCCCCACAAACGGATTCCAATGCAGTAAGAGTTTTGGGCTGTATATCAACCGAGCGACAGCGAGCCATGAATTGGTTGCCGGCCTCATCTTGGAGCGTTTGAAGAATTCAATCGCTCATTGCATCCGGCTGAATCGACAAGGCATTCATATGGATTAGCATAGAAGTAATCTTCCTCCTTTGGTCTGTTAACCAGTACCTTTCTACAGCTTGGCTGCCCAACCCTGTTCTTATGGATCTCCTGAACATTAACACTAAATTCAGACCAGGAGAGTGTTTTATTAGCATGCAGGTCCAGTAATTCAACCAACTTTCTTCTGTCCAACACAATACTTTTTCTGAAGCCAAGATACCTGTTAATATACATAAAAATAAATAATAAAATCCCTTTTTTTTTACAGTTTTGCAGAATTTACATTGAAAGGCTATGCAGCTAAATGGTGCTTATTAGAAATTTGTGAACCTGCGATGGCCTTCGACGACTTTGGCCATGTTTCCATCATAGGTAGGAATAAAAATGTCACTAGAAATTGAAACCAGGTAATCCAATGCAGCCATTTGAGAGGAATGATTCTGAAATTGGTGTAGATCTTCAGGATCCAGAAGCATCTCCTTTCTCAACTGAAAATTAGAAAATATATAAGCAGCATCAAAACTTAAGAACAAGGAAGAAGAGGCAGAACTCAAGTGGTTTGTTCAATTTATGTAGGAGTTAACACAAAATTAAACTGTAAATCCATATATAAACAAACTCGACAGCACAAAAAAATTGAAAACTGTTTGACATGATGATACAGTGTTCCTGCAACCGGCTACAGACCAGCCGATCCAAGGAAGACCGGATTCTAGCTGCCTAGTGGGGCCCACACAACCGTTAATCATGTAAAAGAGGAGACGAAATAAGGGAGTTTTTTTTTTTTTGTTGGGGAGGGGAGGGGGGGAGGAGTTTGAATGGATTCTGGGAAGTATTTATTAAGACTAATTAGCTAGGGTTGGGTTTATGTTTCGTTTTGTTGTAGTTTTCTTTTTGGCTTTGTGCTCCAAATGACGTCTAGGGTTTGCAGAGAGATAATTTACCTTCGAATTATAGATCACCCTTCTATCTTACTTATTCGCTTTCGTATTAATCAAATAGCCCTAGCTTGGGTTCCTTACCACTCAATTCTCGCAAGTTGTTCGCTGATTTTGGTTATGTGTCGTATCACGTGACAACTCTTAAATCTTAGGAAACTCAAATAAATTATTGGGCTAGTTGTTTCAGGATATAAGATTTGTGAGAAGAGCTCAACATGCAAATGATTTCAGGTATTAAGGCGGCTTACCAGTCGAGGAAATGTAACATGTAAATCTGCAAGCCTACGGTCGCTGCCATATATCTCACCCGACGCAACGTAGATTTGAGTGCTATTATTGAATCCCAAAGCTTGCAGAACTAGTGCAGTTTCCTCTGGTGTTAGGGGACATAGGCCCTGCAATCTCTTGGCTGCAGAATCAATCTCTTTCTCTCTCCACCATGGATATGCATACCTAATAGAGCAAATAATCAAACAAAATATTAATAAGATACAAACTTTATCAACTCAAACTGGATGACTACGAATTTGGTGTGAAAGTTTCTAGTGCATCTGAAAGATTACAGTTTAACATGAAGGTTTTTCCAGTAAACTTACAAATAAACCTAAGAGTAGAATACACCAACTGTCAAACTCAATCTTTGTTTCCCGGAATACTTGTGCTAAGTTAAAACATGTCAAATAGGATAAATTTCTGAAAATGCACCAACATTGAACTTTCCAATGTTGACATCCCTTTTGGGATAGTTGAACTTCAACCTTAGTATGCTAGAGTTTTTCTAGAGCCATAGCAGGCCATGACTCTAATACTCTATAAGCTTATCAGTTGCACCTTACCCAAACTCTTCTACTAAGCTGTAGTCAATGTTGAAATTCATCAAACCAGCATTTAGAAAAGTCAAGAAGACAATTTAAGCCTAAAACCTTTGTTAACAAGTTTTAGAGTAGATGGCGAAAAGCTTTGGTATAATCCTACTTGATTAACCATTAGGAATCTAGTCGACTCCTCACCGAGCGAACCCTTTTTTAATATTTATTGTCTCTTTTTGACAATTTCCTCGAATACCATATCCTCCTTCAGGGCGCTTCTACATGTAGCCAGTGCCTAGACCTCTCAGTTGAGGTTGTCTCTCTTGACAACAATTTTTGTTGGACATTGGACTGCTATCCCTAAAAAGTCGCCTATCATGGCAACTCTCCTAAGATCCATCCATTTTTTATCTCTCCGTAAAACATTTACTTCTTCGGCAAAATTAACATTTCAATCACTTATCTTGGGAAATATGACGATCTATTGTAGTTGGCCATCAACTAGCCACCATACTTGGAAATTCACTCTTCTAGAAAACTACGAGCGTGAGCAATATTGCACTCAAGCCGTCCAAGTAATTTGCCCCAAAAAAGTAGTATCACAACAAGACATCCCAAATTGTCACATCTCTCTCAACATCTTCTAAGGGTTCATTTTAGATATCACCTTATCTTAGTCTGACTTGGTCAACTTCCTTCCATCTCAAAACTCATCTCAAAAAATTTACCCTAAAAGCTCACCCCTTCGCAACAAATTCTCCCAAGAACTTGATGGACCTCGATAAGGGGTCATCCCTTTCTAGAGTTAAGCATCTTGGAGTCAATATGTAGGTATATTGTTGCAATGGTAAATTTTGAACTATCCAATTCAATCCTTTCTCCTAGAATATTTTTTTCTGTAATAAAAGTTAGGTCAGGCCTGATGTTGATAACCTTTTAAAGATAATTAAACTTTATCCTTAGCATCCTCGAGTATGTGCTCATGAACTTTAAAGGGGGCATCTTTCCAAGTTAATTGGTTGCACTTTACTCAACCTCCCATATTAAACTCTGGTCAATATTAAAATCTATAGGTGATGACATATCTTTCAGCACCTCAAGGTATCCTGACTTGAATTTCAGTATTTGGCTGCTTGGCTCTCCCTAGAGGCTAAGTTGTGCCCATTTAGTGCGACTATTAATATGTTGATTGTATGAAAATTATGACCATTTGCCCATTTAGTGTGACTATTAATATGTTGATTGTATGAAAATTATGACCATACCAACACTTTTTTTCTTTCCAAGTCTTAAATTAGATGGCTAAGAGTTTTATTATAATTCTTCTCGATCAACTATTAGAATTCTAATCGACTCTTCCCCAACTGAACCTTTTTTAACCTTGATCAACCATTTTGATTGATTTCCTCACGAGTCATATTCTTCTCGGCACTTGTTCTAAAAAACTAATGTTTAGACTACTCATTCAGGGAGGCTGCCTCTCTTGACGACTTACTCTGATTGGCCATTAGCTAAACACCCTCCTTAGGGAGTCAGCTGCCTTGGTGGCTTCTCCTAAGAGAGCCATACTCCTCTCATTGAACTCGCAAAAAAATGTCAGATGACATTTCAACCACTTGTCTAGGGAGGCCACCTGTTTCTGGTTACATATTATTGTTGGCCATTAGTTGACCACCATCCTTGAGAATTTGTTCTTCTCGACAACTCCCAAGCGCAATATCACACTCAGCATTCTTATAGTGACTTGTCCCGAGAAACTAGTTTCTCAAAAAACCCATCCTCATAAGTCAAATTTCTCTCAAAAGATTCCCCTGAGAGCAACATTGCGCTCAACACATGCTGAAAATTAGTGACTTTGCGGCTTATTGAAGAAATCACTTTGCTTGGTAAGCCTTAGTTGACTTCCTTCTCACAATGAGTTCACCCTGTGAGGTTGCTCCTCCTCGACAAACTCTCCAAAGAGTTTGGCCCTTTGTTACAATCCCTTCTTCCACCTTAATTATCATAGAGTTAACTCCTAGGTATAAGCATTTTGGCCCCTTCATTAGGCTTTTAGAAAGAAAGCTAGGCATGCTTCTCAAAACTCGACGAATTGTGCCAAATTATGTTGGTTGATGGGATCCCACTCCTTCCAACCTTAGGTGTCTAAGAGTCATCCTAGCTGGTATTGAGTTCTGTCCCCTCCCAAGTCAAAAACTCAATCCCATATTAAGGCAGTCGCCCAAAAGGAAGGAATCTTGCTAATCAATTTGATTCGATAGGATCCCATCTTTTTCAGGAAAGATTTCCTACACATTGCTCCATTTGAGAAATCTTATTAAGCAAGTCGTCTCCTATTACACTCCCGCCTATTCCTCCAATCGAAGCCTTGGGGTAGGATTGCAAATACCCCTCCCTCTATTCATATTAAGAACTTGAGAAATTGACTCTTCCCTTAATCTGATTTCATTCTATTATTACTCAACCTTAGCAAAGCATTCTGCTCGCGGTCCTTGATGTACTTGCCTCTTGTGGCGAGGGAAGAGTCAACCAAATCCTATGACATACCCTTTTTCACATCAAAAAAACCCCTCTAACCACCCTATTTGACGAATCCAAGATGTTAGAAAACCACACACTAGAGGTACAATACATTGTCGTTAAGGCCATTTGGCCCTACTCATTTACTTCTTAACTTTGGCATCAACGCTAACGCCACACACAACCAAGACTCCTAGCAAACTCTTCAAGGTCACATCAAGGAAATCATAAAAAAAAAACTCCTTGGAGACACATCCTTTATATGCATATTAACTATAAGGTCAGTCTTTAACTTCAGAATCCATGATTCAATAGAGTCCAAGGTAAATGTTCATAGAATCATTTTATGTCCAATTTAGGTATTACTACTCTAGTTATTGAGGAGTTGTAAGCCCTACAAGAGAGGTACCCACAATACTTCTAGTATCAACATTTGCTTGGATCCATTAAGAGTAGCCAGGAACTTACTTCATCCATTTTGAAGAAAAGAGACCTCATCTCATACATAACTCAAATTTTTTGGCCATAAGACCACTTTTACAAATCTTATAAGTGTAATAAAACTCGTTATATCGTATGAATATGATTGTGGGGCAGTAAAAAGTTTATCAACAGCTAAAATAAACATTATATGAACGAGAATCACCAGATGAGTGCTACGAATAGTATGGATAATTAGAGGAAGAATTAAAGGGGATGATGAATGCAGCATCTATGGTAGATAAGATATTGAAAATTAAATTTAATTGGTTTGAGCATAGACAATAAAGTGAGGCAAAATCACTCGTTAGATGATTAACTAAAGTTATAGTCGAAAGATTAAGAAGGAAAAATTTGGATTTAAGATAAAATAAATAGAAATCATTCAATAAATATATTTGTAGGATATGCTTAGCAACGCATACAACACTAAGCAAAAAAAAAAAAAAAAAAAAAGAAAAAAAAGAGAGAGAATTTAAAAAGACAACTTCAAATGAATTTAAAAAGACAACTTCAAAAAGACAACTTCAAATAGTTATGCTACGAGTAAAGTGTTAAAATAGTTCCCTAACTATTTACATCAGGCCACTTTAGTCTTAGAGTCTACAAAAGTGGCAAATTACTCCCCAGACTCTTTAAATTGGATTGAAATAGTCCCTATGGAAGACTATTAAATCTATAATTTTAAAACATAAGATGATAGTTTGGCATTTCAATAGACTCTGGGACTAAAACGACCCCATGTAAATAGTCAGAGGACTATTTTAGCACTTCACTCATTATGATAATGGCACGAAACGTCATATGTGGGAGGATGCGAGATGCGGGATGCTTGAGTTTCCCCGTGACGCTACAAGCTGTAGTTTGCAGTTCTTGATTACGAGATTTCGCATTGACTGTAGAATCGATCTGAGATCTCGTTCCATAAGGAACACGAGAATCTGACAATCAAGAAAATTGGAATGGAGCACCAACTTTTAAATTTTCGCATCTCTTTTCAATTTTTTTTATTTCTTTCCTATTTATAATTTTTTTTTTCAAGAGAGACTATTTACATGTTTTTTTAAATTTCTTAATACTTTTGATGCATTATCTTGATTTATATCTGAATAGAGTGTTGTATCATTTTCCTTTTGTAAGTGGTTTGATGGTTTCTTACTCAGGAACAGATGTTGCAATCTCCTCGTCACTCGTATCTCACCATGTAGTTACGCCTGGAACTGGACCAGTCGAAGGACACCAAACCCGCCCGCCACAACAGCAGGCGGGTCAATCCCTTTCATGTGAAGCAGTCGAGCGGCACTTTGCCGCAGCAAAAGGAAGTCGAACACAGGTGAAGTTCAAGAGGGGCTTAATCACATACTCAAGAAGAAGAAATTAAGGGAGTTTGGAGGGAAAGCCAGAAAGGAAAGTTTTTGATATGCTGTGAGAGGATTCTATTAAGAGGAGTAACTAGGATTTGTTTTCTTTATGCATATTTTTGTTTGACTGTTGTTCTCTTCCTTCGTGAGGTGTTCTTAGCGACGTCTAGAGTGTGAGAGAGACGATTTGCCTTTCGAAAAATAGATCATCCTTGTATTTTGGTTGTTTTCCTTTGCATTTTTTCCACCTATCTATTATCGTTTTGTGTTGCTTGTTCGCTTA